TTCATTGTCATCTCCCTAGTCAGTGAGCTTTCTCCTGGGGGCAGTCATCCAGTGACAGTTTTTTAAAGAATCACCATAGTTTACCAGCTTCATATACTCCCACTTGGCTACAACATCCTGTCTGATTCAGCTGTGGACCTCAACTTGATGCTACTATCCTGACAACTCACAGCAGACTTGACCTGCCCTAAGACGCTTTTTTAATATATCAACAATGAAATTACAAACTCCATTCAAATTTCTCTATTAAAAGAACATTTTACAAACCTTTCCTAACCTTTATAAAAATGCTCAAATGTTTACTTGGAAAAAATACAAAAAACATTATCAAATATTTTCATGTTTTACAGAAACTAGCAAAATGCTGCCATCATGGCGTGCTTGTATGTCCATGTTTTTCGGAAGACATCCGGAAACCAATCAACTTGGCAGAGTTCGGTAGATTTTCAATACTGCACAGAGTGATGTTTTCCACAGTCGAAAGTATCTTATGTAAACTTCAGCTCACTGCTTTCATACTTGGCATTCATGCCACATTAAACCTATTGTCATGCTTCTCAACTGATAACATTAATGCATTGAAAGACCTGTCCATCATTAGTGCTTTCTCACACAAAGACACAAAGACCGACATTCACTCGGACATTCCACACAAGTCCATACATACCTTCTTAATAAGCCTCTCGGAAGGAGAACATGCAATTACTGAGTACTTTCATTAGATGTCCTGAATAGGGATTCATTTCTAGACACAAGTATTGCTTTTTCGTCAAAGGTATTAGTTTCTAATCCTGTTCATCATGACAAGGGCCTCAGTATTGTGGGTGTACATCTTATTGGGTGTAAGGGGAGATAATGCAAGGCAAGGAGAGAAAGGACCAAAACCAGGAATATTGTAGAAGACCTACTATCAACATATTCAAGAAATGGGTGACTGAGGGTGTATGGTTCCTTTAAATTTTTTCCATCTAAACACAAGGGGGACCCCAAAAAACAGAATGTAACCACGTGGGCATTGAAACAGGGCCTCCAGTACATCTAGATCAAATGCCAAGGGATAGTTTTCTTTCACTCTTTACACAGTGCTAAGATCACTTTGTGTAAGTGGACACCAGGAATGGGCTTCACACATTGTACCCATGCGGGGAATAGAACCTGGTCTTCGGCATGACGAGCTAACGCTTTAACCAGTAGGCTACCCCACCGCCCCTCAACTACATGGCATTGTGCCTACTGAACCAATTATTTCTATATCTTGCACATTTTCAGGACATAATTGTGCCTTTCTTGGATAGTGTAGGGAAATGACTGGCAAGACATGCTGGCTCATTCCAGTCCAACCATGTTAAGCCTGGGCAACACCTTCCATTACTGGTGTACCAGAAACTCCTCTTGAGGTCTGGGACCAAGCATCAGCGTCTATCATGTGGCAGTAATCACAATGTCAACACAGCCTTCTATTCTGCCAATACGCTTCTCATCAAGCCAATCAACAAACATCAGACTTATATCCCAAAATACACTCTCGAAGACTTGTAATAGACTCAGACCATGCACCAAGATTCATTGTGACTGGTGGACATGCTGTCATTTCCAAGATGGCTGCATCCCTTGGAAGAGAAACCTCACAGCAAACAAGGAGCCAAAGTCAATATAACAAAGGGCCCCAGGGTGGTGCACATGTGATTTGCTTGGCACAATATTTCCGCTTTCTTGAGCTTGGTTGATGGCAGAATACTTGTGTCTGTACTATCATGCATCTGTGAGGCGACCTCAAGCAATTCCAACCATATTTAGCCCATGTTTGTCATGATAAAATCATTAATGATTGTTTGTAAATCTGCTGTCTGAAAACAGCAAGATTGGAAATGGAAGTCCACTGATCCTGTGGCAAACACTCACCCACTGTTCTTATCATCTCTACGCCTTGTAAAGTCACCAGCTTCTAATGTTTACTTCAAGAAAAAATATCAAATATTCCCCAAGATAACATGAAACAAAAAAGCAACAAGTTGTACTTCCCCACATTTCTATTAATTCCATCCTGAAAGCTTTATCGGCTCTTCTGCCCCAGTGGGTGGTCGTTTCAATCACTAAGGTTTATGCTTATTAAAGGTTTAAGGTAAAAAGACTGATTCTCAATACTTGTAATTCCAAACTATGGCGTATCAGCTGCCGCTGTAGACGTGTATAGGATCTACCCTTGTACAGCCAGCCATTACCATAACACTGGGTCTGACAAGGTAAAGTGCAGTGGTGGAATGGAGAGGCGGAATGCCTTCCTGACAGCCATGGAAACCCTTACATTTCAACACATAACACAAGCTCCCTTCTACATCACCTCCCCATAAACTTAATTTTTAAAAAGTGGGTTTGATGGAGACAGAAACTTGAATAGCGGGTACGGCAGCTGGTACGATGGGCCTGCCACGTGTCCATTACATTAGGAGAGTGGTTGCAGCCCATTCATTCTCTTCTTTGAAGCAGCCACACTAGGGGGTGCTGAAACCACGTAACAGAATATTACCCCAGTATGCAAGCCCGAGAGCTTTAATTAGCTACTTTCTATCCTCAGCTTTACCTTACACAATAAGAAGTCTTGGCTAAACACCTCCATGAAAACACCGATGCAATGTTGTTTGGTGAGGACGCCCCCATCAGACATGAATAGGGACAGTGTCCTTTCATACTTCCAAACTCAGGCAGAACATCAGTGTGAAAGAGAAGGGAGTTTATGGCCGACAACCTCTTTGTGGGAGAAATGGCCCAATGTCCAACCTTGTTAAGCCTGATGAAATGTTTGTTCACAATATGCACAGCTAGAGTTCCAGATTGGATTATTTTCCAATTACATCCTCTAGTAAACCACTATCAAACACTTTGAATAATACCAGTGAAATTTACTCACAAAATGAGTAAAATCTGAGTTCAAATACATGGAAAGTCTTAGCATTGTAATGGTCCTTGCTGTGAATTGATCTTATACATTCATAAGAAAGAAATTATGACATTGTTGATTTTAAACTTGTGATTTTGAACAACCTGTGATCACTCAGAACTGTCTCATACTATTTGTGTTCCGCTGTTCAGGGATAACTGACCTTGGCACAGTGCCAGCGTTTGACGTTGCAGCATCAACAGCACTGAATCCATATGAATTGAGGCGACACCTGGCTGAGCGCCAACATTTACAATCGCAGATCACTGCAGAATCAATTATCGGTGATGTTACATGACAAAACAGGCAACTAGCGTGTAAATCATTCCGGGTCTTGCTACGTTAAGGCAGAACCCAAACATCCAGCCACTACCACGACCTATACCACAGCTACCTAAATATTGATGGCCAATTTCTTCAGCCACACATCCAGAAAAACAATCATTATTGAAGCTGCTTGAATGGAGAATTCATCAGCAACATCAAAAGATATTTTCTACTGAAAGCATTTTCCTAATTCTAAAATAATTGATTCTTGCCAAATCATAACATTGAGTTAATTTAATCCACATCACCCAATAAAAACAAGTTCGAAATCGGATCTGATGTTCCATAGTTAATCAATTAATGGGTAAGATTTAATGTAGAAACTTTACTGTTTATCTCAAAATAATATTGTCAAGGAGTAAAAGTATTTGATTCCCAACATGCACTCACAAGATATATTAGAGTGCCAACAACAAAAACCTGTGCATCCATCATTACACTCAGTGAACGGCATGTCACGATGAGCTGGATAATAAATGGGTAAACAGAACGTTTGCCTTCTTTTTCATTAACATTGATAACATCCTATTCAATTTCTGAATCCTAACTTCTTTCTTCATGAACCCAAGAACAGTAAGCTTATTTGTATACATGCTAATCACTAATGTCTGCACAGATTACTTTTGCAAGATAAATCTTGTCATAGGCTTTGTATAATGCATATAAGGAATTTTTTTAAAACAATGATTAAAGAGTGTCATCCAAACTACAGAACATATTACAACTACCCATACAACTTGTCAAGCCAAATTCCACTACATGCAATTTGGAAAATGTAATCTTATACTTACAAGGGATCTTACAGGAAGGTTTTCTGTTTACAAGTAATTACGCACACAATTCCAATATAAGTGTGTAACATTGTAACATTGTAACATGGTAACATTGTAACATTGTAACATTGTATCATGGTAACATTGTAACCCCACTGCTACTGTATCACCTACCAACCATGAAACAAGAATGTAATGTAAAATAGGCGACGTTAAAATTAAATTCAGATTGGAAAGGATTATCAGAGAAGTCCAGTATGATTCATGTTAGTTGAGATTCAAACCACATCTAGTCACACAGAGTAGTGACATCAAAATGTTGTGCAGGATGTATGTAAAATACATGAATTTCAAACTCCATCAAGTCAGACAGCGTAGCGAGACACTGACAAAGGCCTCTGACTCTGTATCTGTGTACATAATGGCCGGCTGGCCACTAGTTATTTTCTGAGAAAACGTGAAAGCAGCGTCACAATGGATCTCACCCTACTTTCCATGGTTAGTTTCCCTGCTGTCATGAGTGTACGGATACCATACTTGTTTGATCGGGATCAAGACAACAACAAAATGTTGACATTTAACATGGAGCAATAAAACTTTCACCACACCACCAAAAAATACCAGAGGGCAAACAGGCCACTAAAATCGAACACCACAGTCCTAGCAGGGCAAAAATTCACCATGACAATCGGAACAATTATATTCAAATTCCATTGGATTTTCAGAAAGCGGTTATCTGAAGCGTCTACAACATTTGAAAATCTCCCTAGTGAGGACCTGGCATGTACAAGACATGTTTTACATGCCAAGGCCCTGTGCTGTCATCGAAAGGCTGACAGTGTCGGGCAAGACAAATGAGAAAGTATGTCCAATATTGTTGATCAAGGTCACAACCTCCCCCAGCTCCATCACCAACCTGGCAACATTACAACATCAGCTGAATCATAACACGGTTCACTTACCCGTATCTTCACTAGTTTGGGCCGGCTCAAACTATGGACACATGGTTTCTTCACAGACGTTTTCTGAAACAAAACGGAAAATATTACTTTGTTGTTTTATGTTAAAATGTGCTGGCAAGAAAGACAAGAAAGTTTTATTTTCTCTAGGTATTGATTTGTGATCATAATGTTAAATATAAAATATTAACACCTGCGAAAAGGGTAAGCATACTTGGCACTTTCAGTACCATTCACTACTCACACAATCTGTAACCTGTAAGTGTTTTAGCATCGTGCAGTAGAACTCATCTCTCATGTCCAATATGCTAACACATGTTGTCACAGTGAGTGAGTTGGGTTTTACGCCGCTTTTAGCAATATTCCAGCAATATCACGGCGGGGGACACCAGAAATGGGCTTTACTCATTGAACCCATGTGGGAAACAAACCCGGGTCTTCAGCATGACAAGCGAACGCTTTAACCACTAGGCTACCCCAGCACCTCATGTTGTCAAAGAAATAGAATCAGTAAGGTAGAGGTCAACACGGTTTTCTCACAATAATACACTTTTGAAATAAAAAATACACCCAATATATCCTTAAATACTAACTTTCAACAAACACTTGATGTACAAATTATGTTTTGTTGATGTAAGCTTTATAAAAGTTTCAAGTAAGCATATAATTATAGAAAGGTCTTTAAAACCTAAAATAAAATCAATAATTATTAGAGGACCAAATCACCAATATTTCAATGATTAATTGCCAAGATATATTTTTGAGCCGTTCTTCAGCGACTTGAAGAACAACTGCACCATGAAACCCGTCATGTTCAGGCTAATATTCAGTGCAGCAAACATGCATTACAATCATAAACTGAGGCAATCAGTAAGTTACCTGAAAGCCAGTATATGACCAGGGCACAATATTGACAAAGTTCTACTATCTACTCATCCAGGCTGTACTCTTCTAAATGGCCAAATATTTGGTAACAGCATCGGTCAGTAATTGCAATAACCTCCTGTTTCATCCAACTGATCTGAAGACATATATTTCTCTCTAAGCATTTAATAAGACATGCTGGAATCAAATTTGTAGAGTTTCCTCAGCTAGATGTTATTGCATTAAGCCACAGTGTTCATTTATGTCAATTATAATAAGAGGCAATTATGGCCTTGGTAGTAATGCAGCTTTCCATCAAAGTCCTACTCAAATACTGAACAAGTATTCATAAATAATGTTCCCATTTACAAGCTTGCCAAAGAGGGACCAAAACTCCATCAGAATCTGTTAGCCTGATTTCTAGTACTGCCATTTTATAGACCCATAATGAACGGGTCAAGAATTCACCACAATCTTCCCATCCCTATCAGCCGCAGACCTCAGTCTCAGACCTCTGTCTCGGCTAGTTAGGTCTGTCAGCTTCACTGCCACCCAGCATTTACAGTTTCTGATATCTAAAGCTTGTAGACTCCCGTCACTGTAGGTGGCATAAGCTCTATGTTATACTGCCACTATCACATGCTTGTTTTGAGTTCTGACAGTCATACTCTGTGGCTTAACTGGTATATTCAACAGTAACAGTGTAACAGATTCAGAGAGCAATCAGCATACTCTGTGGTATAACTGGTATACTGAACTGCAACAGTGTGACAGATTCAGAGAGCAATCAGCATACTCTGTGGTATAAATGGTATACTCCACAGTAACAGTGTAACAGATTCAGAGAGCAATCAGCATACTCTGTGGTATAACTGGTATACTCCACAGTAACAGTGTAACAGATTCAGAGAGCAATCAGCATACTCTGTGGTATAAATGGTATACTCCACAGTAACAGTGTAACAGATTCAGAGAGCAATCAGCATACTCTGTGGTATAACTGGTATACTCCACAGTAACAGTGTAACAGATTCAGAGAGCAATCAGCATACTCTGTGGTATAACTGGTATACTCCACAGTAACAGTGTGACAGATTCACAGAGCAATCAGCATACTCTGTGGTATAACTGGTATACTCCACAGTAACAGTGTAACAGATTCAGAGAACAATCAGCATACTCTGTGGTATGATATACAACAGTAATAGATTCAGTGAGTAATCAATGGTGTAAGTTGTACATTCAACAGTCACAGTGTCCTGCAGGCTGTGTTGACAAGTCTGGCAAGCTGCCATGTTGCGTCTCCAACAATCCCCCCCCTCCCCCAATACGCACACACGACACACACCACCATTTCTAAGTGGCCGGTGACAAAAACAACGTTCTCCACCATGGAACAGGACAACACACATTACACCAACTCATGTAGCTCCCTTGGCAAGCAGCCAACTAAATCTGTTCCACAAAGGCTCACGTACAAAGATAAAATGTGAAATCTTTACGACAGACAGGAATAACATTTTAAATGTGTTACCACACTAGTGTAATTTGACTTCCTTGTGTTGTTGTCAAAAAAACATTTTACAGAGCTTATTCAATAACAAGAAAAATGTTAAACATGTTCTGATTAAAAGGATTGTAAGCGGTTTTGTTTGTACTTTGTCACTACGGTGATATAACAGTACCATATTCAGGAATCATGTCAAAATGATAATACAATCTGTCAAGTATTCTAAAACAAAGATTCTTCAAATGAATTCATCTGTCAAGAACACCTGATTTTCAGTGATCCAGTGATTCCATGAATATAAATGTTTGGTCCTTTAGCCACAGTGGAATCTGTATTAAAGTATTATTTACAAGTGTGGACATTTAAATATTTACACAGATACTGACATTCATTCTAAACAAAATTCCAACAATCAGTATTTGAAATATTTTATACAAGCAATTCAGATGAACAAGTAAAAAATTAATATAATTAGCTCAAATTGCTTGCTAGAAGAATTGCAAAAGTACATGTGATCTTCAAATGTTTGTCATAATAGCAACATAAAAGTAAAACATTTGATTTGAATTGATAAATATTTAAATGTAGTATTCATTGTCATTTGAAATTTAGTCGTTTCAGTTGAAACCAACATCACTGAGACACATATATACTGTAAAGATAAAAATAAAATACTTCATTTTGTAATCTACAATTGTAATCCAATCTCATAATAGATGAATTTAGACAATGGAAGTTGGCATGTCTACATTTTAAGCCTCCACTTAGTTTTTAATATGCAATATCAAACATGCTTCCACATGTGATGAATCTAAGGAGGCCACTAGGTGATACTGGAAGTCCTATAACATATGTAGATAGCTTCAGCTTAATAATTAAGATAGTTCACAAGAAACGGAAGAAGTGAACATCTCTTCCAGTCATCCAGCATTCTCCCAAGTCTTCTGTTGGAAGACAAACATGAAATCGTCGAGCATACACTGTTTACCAAGTAGAATTCCAGAAAAGGTTTTATGGGTGACTACTAGTGACTATTTCCTAAAGAAAGTATTGTAGCACAGATATCCTAAAAGAACCTGCAGTGGCACCTTGCAGAGGAACCCAAATGTGCCCAGTTTGGTTCCTGGTGATCTATAGCTAGGGTTGGGTATTGCCAAACCTTTTGTACTGCGATATATTGCGATATATGTTAGCGTATTGCAATATGTATTGCAATATATTGTGAATAGAAGATTTCGCCAAAGATTGGAACTCTAGAAAAAGCGTCTGCAGCGGCGTCCGCCATTTTGGTTTGTTTATCCCTACACCGAGTGCTGGTACCAATCTATTTTTTTTATTCATATGGTTTAAAAGTCACGCAAATGCAATAATATAACCAATAAACATTCTCAAAACTTATTGTATAATAATATAAAGGAAATACAAATGTTATTAGTAGTTTTGACTACATCACGACAATTACCGATCATGGTCACGGAAATTGACGATCGTATCGAGTGAACCGATTCGCGAAAAGTATATCGCAATATATTGTATTGTGAAGTTTGAATTGCAACATACCGGTTAACTGGTATTATCGCCCACCCCTATCTATAGCCCGTTTGTATGATGTATTAGGAATAGCTGTCTTTGTTTATGGTGGCATACTATTTTAAAATACAATTCAGTTCTAACCTAGATGTTTTATGTATTCTAAATGTGTTTGTACTAGTCATGACTGAAATAGAACAGATGTGAATTTAAATTTTATCTCACCGACATTTACAAATTAAGGATTGTGATATTTGAGGGCATTACCTGAACATATATAGAGGATATTATTATGAGTGCCCATGTCATACTATGTTTCAACAAGAGTGCCTAAATGTTGGTATTTCCCCGAGCGAGAGCAACATTTAGGCACTCGTGTCGTAACATAGTATGATATGGGCATGAATATAATATTCTATTTATTACCGAAGTCGTCAAATTGAGCAAAATAAACCCAAATCTACTTTCAAACATAGGCTGGCTACCACCCATCGCTGCATGTAGACCGCAACCTCACAGAAGAAACGCGACGTCACATCATTGTTCATGACGTCACATCACCATGACAAAGTGATCATATGAAAAATATGAACCCAATATTTTCACCCTCCTAGGTAATAAAGGCTACCAAGGGTTTACATATGACTGACTGACTGAGTTTGGTTTTACGCTGCTTTTAGCAATATTCCAGCAACATCACGGCAGGGGACACCAGAAATGGGCTTCACACATTCTACCCAGTTTACATTTGAAGACATCAAACCCACAATAAGTGAACGCCTACACCACTGGGCTACTGAACCACCAACCCTCCTAGTAAGTAATGCCAACAGTGAAGGAAGTCAAAGACTGCAGTATTTGCATAAGACCAGTTCTTTTGACATTGATGCAACGATGAAACCAGCATTTTGTCCCCACCTCTTAACACAAGGATTAGCATGACCATCAAGAGGAGAAGACAAACATATGGGGTGGTGACCAAGACAGCCAGCAGTGACCTATCGGTGGTAATTACAACCCTGGGGCAGCCTAATTGAGAGGACCAAGCAGCCAGAGGCAGGTCCACCATCAGGCCCTGTCAGTCTGACAGGCCACATCATCATTGGCAAAGATGGTCTTATTGGCCATCTATTCATGGTCACCAATTGGGCCATCTTTTCAT